GTATTGATGCAAATTGATGCGCCTTCATCGGACAAAGTAGGCAAAACGAGCTCCCAAGAGCAGTAATAGTGGTATCCAAAGAATGAGGATGAATCGGTGCAAGCCCTGCATTGCATTGCATTGGTACAAATTGATTCGCCTTCATCTGAGAAAGTAGGCAAAACGAGCGCAAGGGAGCAATTATAGTGGCATCCAAAGAATGAAGATACCTAGATCGGTGCTGGCAATGCAGTGCATTGGTGCAAATTGATTCGCCTTCATCTGACAAAGTATAGGCAAAACGAGCTTCCAGGAGCCGCAATAGTATAGTATCCAATGAAAAAGGATAAATCGGTGGAAGCCCTGCATCCAGAGCAAAGATATTCCATTCGTGACACTGATATGAATTATGCTATTGAAAAACGCCATTGAAAACATTAGAATGTTGCAAAATGTCCCCCACAAAATATTTATTTTTTAATGAAAATTATAAATATGTTTCCCCGAAATTTTACCTGAGATCGAATTGCGAACAAAATTATCTGGTGAATTCTGGCCTTTTTCAGTACGAATTAGGTGAGAGAGGATAGTCCGTGTCCGTGTTATTTTCTGCATGATAACTATGTTACGTTTCGGAGACTTTCAAACGAATTTCAAGGTTAGAAAGTATCACTAAAGGGTACATCATTTTACTAAAGAAATCAGTAAGTACACCGCTATGTGGAGTAAAGTGCTGTTTCGTCTCAATTGATGTGAATTTCTGCGCGACCATTTCACTCCTCCTCATCAAACAAACTTATTTTCTGCAAATAAGACGAATTTCGCTGTTAACTCAATCAATTTAGTTCACTTAATTTAAATGAGTAAAATGGGCTTTCCCGTCACGAAAGAACGTAACCTAACTCTAATGTTGCTTAATGTTCCCTCGCAAATGTATCAACCGTGCAGAACAATTTTGAGCATTTTAAACTGAAAATTTCACCGAATTTCCCTCAGATTGCATACAAAAATCAGAAAATTTTGGATAAAAATTGCTCAGGCACATTTTTGTAAAATACATAAACTGCTTTAATCAGTTTGGCACCCTTGCGATGAAGCTGCGTTCCTTCGTCTGGGAGACGACGAAATTTAAAGCCAACTTGATTTTGGAAAGGGCGTTCCTCATGGCTGTTTTCGGTAACACGGCAGCATTAACTCCAGTACATCGACGGCGAAAGTTCCATGTTGACTTGTGCCCTGTAAACTTGGGCCGAAACGTGTGAAAAAATGACGCTTTTTTGCCGCGTGAACATTGAGCTCATCACGCGCGCTTCCGCTCAATGCCATCGCGATCCAGTGCAACGCTGCACCTTGAAACCGAAATCCAAAAGCAAAATGACTAGGTCTCCCGTTCGGGAGCCGCGATTTGGAACACGGCCGTATGCAATTTCGTTCCGAGTTCGCGTGAAGCACCACGCGAAAACTGCAATATGTTCCCGGTTCGCGTTGTTGATAATGCATAGATGATCGTCATAATTGGCCGGGTGCACGATTTTGCTGCGCTGAAACAGACGCCCGAAACGCATCGAAAGGGTATCGCGTTTGAAAGGCGATTTGTCGTGTTGTTTTCGAGCAGAGCGCGTTGAAGTTGGTGTTGACTTCGACAAATTACCGTCGTCTGATAGACTGATTTTACGGTTACGTCCTGTTGTAAACGTCGACATATTGATCTTTTGATCAGGGCCGGATTTAGGGGGTGGCCACATGGGCCGCGGCCAATGACGACAAATTTTGCAATTTTTTTAAACGTAGCTGTATAGAAAATTCGGAATCAGAGAAAAAAATTACAAACGAGAAAAGGTGACAAAATCTCTCATTTCCTGAGAGTGTATTCCTAATTTTTTCGTCTTTCTGTGATACAATAGACATCATCTTTAATTAGTCGAGTTAAGACTGAGAGAGAAACCGAACACGCGGAATTTGGTCTGGGCCGGTGCGGCGCAGAGAGCAATGATGACGAGAACTTGAGATGCAACGGAGAAATCCTAGGCGCGACGGTCGGCATGTAACACATATTAGCGCCTACAAGACTGTATGAATACTTCACGCATTGCGTCAAAGACGCATTGCGGTCGCTGCGGTTAGCAGCGGGCGGCGACAAAAGCATAGCGCCTACAAGACTGCCATGGATACTTCACGCATTGCGTCAAAGACAGTGCGGTCGCTGCGGTTAGCAGCGGGCGGCGTGAAACGCATAGCGCCTACAAGTCTGCATGAATACCTCACGCATTGCGTCAAATACAGTGCGTGTAGCAGCGGTCGGCGTGAAACGCATAGCGCATACAAAACTGTAGGAATACTTCATAGAATGTACGCTGGGCCACGAATTTTGTGCTTCAGCACATTTGGTAGATGCCGATTTTGTCTCAATATTCCAATCGGTACTTGAGCAAAGCTACTTAGATACTGATAAAAATACTTGTGCACGGGTGTTAATTTTGGTTAATATATACATATAAGAGGTGAAACACAAACCAACACAAATTTTGTGTTAATTTTGGTACAGTTGCGGTGAATTTATTGCAAAAAACAATGAAGAGAATAGGAAAATGCAATCCTTAAATTGCGACGTTTGTGTTCACCACTGGTTTTTCATTTAACTTCTTCGAGAAAACTAGCTGACATTTTATTTTGAAATTGTCAACCGAAGGCCAGGATTATTGTGTGTTTTGCTTCCCGTATATTAACCAAACTTGTGCATTGAAATTACTCTCTGTTCAGCGAGTGTCCTCTCAGAGAACTCTCACAACAATCAGTGACGGTTTTTTTTGGCCCCACTACAATATTGTGGCAAACTAGAGCAAAGCTAATTTATATTTTTGCGTGATCCGATGGGTTGAAAACCCTGACAATGATGTAGGTTTAATTACACGATGATGTCAAAATTGCAGTAATAGTATCCCAGTCGTCGCGTTATTTGCGGTAGTCCACGATACTAATGGGTTTAGTCAGTATTCATGACTATCGTGTATCTTTTTTTTTTATGAAAAAAGGATGGATATAGAAATTCCAAGAAAAACTGTGTGCACATCCTTCTGATCCTGGCGGATACATATAAACGAGGATATTTGAATGCGGGTGAAAATCGACAGCTCAAAAAAACCGCACAAACCGAGGGGGCTAGACGATTTCGGACAGCCGCAAATGATATTAAGGCACGTTTGTGGACAAAGAGTGCTAGGTGCTAATAAAGCTCATTTACAATTCCGTTATAATTAAATAAAATCATTCAGCACACGATACCGCGTGTGAGATTCGGTTTGGAGCGGTACACCATTCATTAATTATTAACCGCTAATAATTAGCAGTCACGTTACATAAAACTACGCGGCGTTGCAATATGCTCGTAGAAAACAACCTTTAACGCTGAAAAAAAACCGATGAAAATTTTTTAAAAAAAACCACTGAAGAATCTTAGTGAACTAACAACTGCATTCATTGCAACTCTTTCCTCTTTCCTCTTTCCTCTTTTTCTTTCTGGATGATCTAAATGAAAAAAAAAAAAAAAAAAATGTCTCATAAGGTAGCCCGTGGGGCCGGGGGTCAGAGGCAGATCCAGACACTTTAAATGGGAAGGGGGTGTAAGGGGAGTCCCGGGACTTCTGCCACAAAATTTTCGAAATTTTAAGGCATTTAACAAGAAGTTTGAATCAATTTCAGTAGGAATAATTACCAAATGAAAATGTCCTTCCTTCTTCTTTCCTACATCACCCACTGGAAAAAAAAAAAAACACATTGGATCTAGAGTCCAGACTCTTGAAAACATTGACAAGAAAAAGGACTCTGGATTCAATCAGATTTAAGCTTAAATCAAAAAGGAAATCCGCTCAAATTAAGAGGCTTGGTTCTTGATTTATGATTAAATCTGATTGAATCAAGAGTATTTTTTCTTGTCGATATTTTTAAGAGTCTGGACTCTAGATCCAATGTGTTTTTTTTTTAAAGTGCCCCGTCTCTCTCTCTCCTATTTTTCTTCCTCCTTTTTTGAAGCGAACAGGGGGAGGGGGATTTAATCCACCCACGTCCCCTTCATCCACCCATAGCCTGGACCGGGATACTTCTTTCAAATTACCTATTATGATGGCAAGAAAACAGCTTCAATCGTTGAATTTGTTCAGGCAGGTCTTGGGAGGGGCCCTATAATAGTTTGGGCGCCTGATCTGGCGTCTACGTAGCGGCGAATCGGCCGACGCCGCGCGCGGCGGACCGTCGCGCGTCGCGTCGCGTCGCCCGACGAGAAAAATTCGCGCTTCGCCTATTCCACCTATCCACCTAGTTGAGGCGATGAAATGTTAAGCGCAAGAATAAATTATGATATACGATGGAATGGAATCAAAGCGAGAGATGTGCCGGTCGGATAAGGATAAACCGGAGATACTCATCTTCTCGCGCTGACTCCCAAGTCCAGGTCCCAGCGGCCTGGAAACGACCTTGCATTGCGGCCACGAATTTTGACCGTCCGATTTTTAGCGGATCCCACCACTCATCGTTCCCTTTCTTTCGTGGCTCAACATTTAGAGGATTGTCAAAACGTCGTTTCTCTCACGAAAGAACGTAAATCTGTTCCAATGTTGCCAAATGTCCCCGCGAAAAAAACACTTTAACCGGGAAAATTTTGGGAATTCCTAATTGAAAATTTCACAGATTTTTCTTCTGATCTAATGCAGAGATCAGCCTAATTTCAATCAAAATTTGGCGGTACATTCTTGTAAAAAATTGGTTTGTTTCAGTCGATTTTGCAACCTTGCAATTGAGTTACGTTCTTTCGTTCAGGAAACGACGGACAGTATAATTAGACCCTCAGTCGTATGACTAAGGGTCGTAAGTCATTTCTTAGACATTAGCCTGCTTATGACTGATGAAATTTCTACGACTTATGAAGTTTAAGTATAGCGACTATGAATAAGACCCTGATAATGATTGACCAGAGGACTCTCTCCCTCTTTGCTTTATAATAATGGGAAAATAGAAACTGTACTCACCTTTGAGGACCACTTGATTCGAAAGCTGATCATTGGCGCTCATTTTTGCCTGAAACATAAATTTGAGCTCAATTAATGAATGAGGCACTTGGAAAATGAAATGAAAACACCATATCAACAGGATAGAACTATATTTTTATTTGATTGCGTGATAAATCTAGTAATTCTTTATTCTTATACTCAATAACCTCTGTGCCTTGTGAATTTTTAACTGCATAAGAAATCCTCTCTGAGATAATTAGTATTTTCGTTGACCAAAAGGAATTCTGGTTATCATTCCACGGAATTCCGATGTCTGAAAGAAAATTTCCGAGCGGGGTTAGACGTTTCTATCTCCAAGATCTGAAATCCATCCGTGGGCATAAATTATTTGAGGCAGGTGCAAATTTCTTCAAGACTGGTCATACAGGTGGATCTCAATGAGCAGACTTAAAATCAGAGACTGAGTTTTACAGGATATGGCTCATAGGAAAACACTTGTCATATCAGGCGAACACATTTTCCAATTTGATTACGCTACAAATGAGATTCACAGAACAAATTTCGGATGGGAACCGATGAGAGGTGGGGGAAAAAAGGTTGTCGGAATGGAAGGACGGATAAAAAAATTGTTCAGCGCGGCCGATCCAAAAAATTGTGAGAATGCGCAGCAGCTTTGCCACGCCCACATTATGTAATGGCGGATCGGCAAGGCCGCAATTTTCCTTCCTCCTCCTCTTCTATTTCTGTCTCTTCCTTTTTGTATTCCTCATCACCTCCTGCTTCGCCTCTTGATGGAGACCAGTGTCGAGACTAGTATCGACTATCGATACATTCCCGTTTGAAGCTACGGTAAAGAATCGATTATTAAGATTTTCGTTGCGAACACCCTGTTTATCGATCCTTTCCTATAGGTTTATATGGCGGATCAATCGATGTATCGCAGAGCAAGCCACGCCACTGATGAAGACGCGTGCTGTGAGAGTTCTCTCTGAGAGTATTTGACGACCGAACCAACTTCAGAGACGATAAAATAGCGTTAATTAGGGATTATATGGTTAGCGCTGCTCCGCTGATAGAGAAACGCGTAACTATTGCAAAAATCTAAGTTGGATGCACGGTTTTTATTAGTCGAACATCCAAATGACGCGGCAAATGAAACGCAAGTCCGTTGATGCTGAATCTCATGCCAACCAGAACTCTGATTATTAAAACTAATAGACAAAGTTATGGACAAAGAAGACAATGGAAAAATAGAGCGATCACATTGGTCTAAAGCGAGTGGTTGCAACATAGGTACAGAAAGTAATTGACTATAAGAAACGGCGACCCACGAGAGACCCCACAGTTACTCTATAGTTGCCCACTGTAAGTCTGTAAAAACCACCAGCTTCAACCAACAGGATTGCTTCATTCTATCTTTGTCTTCTTCGTCCATTGCTTTGTCTATCGATCTCAATAATCAGTCTCCTGAAGTTAGTTAACTTTACGCTCAGTAGAAATTGTAAAAACTTACGTTTAATGTTCTCTGGCTGATGCTTTTGACTGCTCTGACTAAAATTGTGGTCTTACTTATAATAATTTTTGTTCGTTGCTCAGAGTCTCGTATTCTTTACCGAAGACTTTGATTACTGGAACTGAGATTTGGTTCCTAAAAACCAACCGAAACCTTGTTCCGAAAATTTTGGTAATCCAAATCCAGAACTCTGACGTTCAATTTTACGTGCAATATAAGCCACTTTTGCAGCGCTCCCTGGCGCTCTGCGACACTTAGTCACCGAAGTCCCTTATCCTCCCATAGCCCTTCAGGGAGTTGGCACTCCTTCATTTCCCCTAAAACTCACTGACACCACCCTTTCACTGGGCGTCTTCTTCGTCTCCTCCCAGGAGGAATCCATTGAAGCATCTTCTTTGGCAGCCTTTCTTCCACTGCTTTTCAGCACTCCCTACAACACTTCGCTATACAACCCTCGCTATACAACACTTTATACCACCATCGTCCCCTATCGAACCATAACCCTTAAGAAATTGAGCGCGTGAATATTTCCAAATTTATCGCATCCCTTCACCCTTATGGCGTTGAATGAGAATCAATAATCAACCCTTGTATCGGACATTTTTTCCACTGAGCAGTAGAATCTAGAGGATCCACCTCTGGAATCCTAAACTAAATTGACTAAAACCACAAATGCATGTTCGAGAAATTTGGGTATCCTCCACCTTCTTAGGGAAATATTCTTTCCTCTCAATTCAGCTCTTACTTATACCGCCCAAATAGACAGACGTACCTGCAAACATAAGTTACAAATATGTTTCCGTTCTTATCCGCCGCAGGCTACCACTTTGAATATTAATGGTAAGCCCTTCACTTGCAATGAAGTTTAATATATAGAACTCTTCGAGATTGATGTTTTATCAGACTCAATCATATAGGATATAAGTCTTTTCTCAAAACGCCCAGTGTAGATAGAAGCATAGAGCTTAATGGCATCCAATTAAATCTCCCATTTGACGGCAGGGAGCTTGAGTACTGAATGACGTCACACGAAAAAGCCTCGACGCGTCAAAGCAACATATGCTTGTTAAGTTTGTTAAGTTTTTGTTGATACATTGGAGAAATAAAAGGCAATTTTTTCTACGTAACAGGAAAAAGAGGGATACAACGAGACATGTTACAAGTGAAGGGAGATTTTTTTTACGGTAAGGGGCTCAGACCTACGTCATGGTTGCGTGAGGAAAGGAAGGGTGGTCTGAAAATCAGGATTTCATTGTGACACGATCCTACCGTTTTGGGCGAAAACATCGAGCAAGCAATCGAAGGCCTCCAAATTTCCCCCGGCGAAATATTAATGTTTGTTTGAAGCTATGGATATTTTTCTTTGATAATTTTAGATGCACTAGATAAAACTTCGGTTGACTCCCCCTCGAAAGTTAAAGGAAGGACTTTTTCAAGTTTTCCAGCAAATGTGAGAGGAAATTCGGCAAAGCCACGGTTGTCCCTTACGCGGTTCTTCATCGGAAGGATTATCGAATAACACCTGTCCTGTCCATTCGGCACCCTCCGTCCGCGCACTTGCTCCTCCCCCCGTTCGTGCCGAAAAAAGAAGAAGAGGGAAGAAAAAGGTCGCGGAAAAAAATCGCGACAAAAAACTCGGGAAAAAATGGCAGTCAGCGCTTCGCACGATCGAGACCAATTCGGGCACTAAGGTTGCACCGCGGCAGACCTACATTCTCAAGGTCAATCCTCAAGAGCCCGAGCGANGGGGGGGGGGGGGGGGGGACCAGGAACGAAGTTCGAAAAGTTATGTCGAAAAACTTCGTCACAAATGCACGCCGGTTGGCGGTGTTAATTTTATGTACTTTTCGGCTCGACACGCTCGTTCGTCGGAGTTTTTTGCCTTTCCCGAGTGGTTCGACCTTCGCGCCCTGTTTTATCCGCTCCTCGCGCGGGAGAAAAACGAGCGTGCACCAAGTCGATTGCTGTGCTCGTAGGTTATGCCTTTTCGTGTCGTTTCGGCGCACGAATCGGGGTTTGAAGATGTACCGCGATGGCGTTGCCGCTATCGAGTTGGAGTTGCGTTTTTTAGAGCTGCGGGCTGATTGTAGAAATTGGTAAACACAGCAATAGACAACACTGGAAAAAACACATTAGATCCAGAGTCCAGACTGTTGAAAACATTGACAAGAAAAAATACTCTTGATTCAATCGGATTTTTGCTTAAATCAAAAGAAAATCCGCTCAAATTAAGAGGCTTGGCTCTTGAATTAAGCAAAATTCCGATTGAATCAAGAGTATTTTTTCTTGTCGATGTTTTTAAGAGTCTGGACTCTAGATGCAATGTGTTTTTTTTCCAGTGAAAGATGACAAAAAGGATATGGTAGGATCCTATTGGTGGGAGCGGGTGGTTACAATGGACAAAGGAGGTGGGAAATGGAGAAACTAACGGCAACCCACGTCCCACGAGTGACCCTTTAGAAGGTCCATCATATTCATCCCTTAAACTATTAGAGCCACCCATTTCAACTTAAAGTGTTGCTCAATGCTCCTTTTGTATTCTTTGTCTATCAACTTCAACAATCAACCCGCAATTAGGGAAATTGCTGGGTGCCATTAACGTACCTGTACAGGGCAGTGGCGATTCTTGCAAATCGGCAACGCTGTTTTTCCTCTACATAAATGTATGTAAAATAATCGACTCCTGGCGGGACATCTTGCCTGACCTAAAATCGATATTTTCAATGGATTTTAATAAAGAAAAAAAAAAGTGTCGCCAACTTGCAAAATTTCTCTGATACAAGGCGCAGTGGCGAGACGTGAATGAAAGATGATCGATATTTCCCCATTTGAATCTATGGTAAAGAATCAATTATTGAGGTATTTGTTGCGATCACCATGTTTATCGATACTTTTCCTTGGGCTCAACTGGCAGATCCATCGATGTATCGCAAATCTCGCCACGCCATTGACAAGGAGAGTGCGATTACTGGGCCTCGACAAGGCCCTTTTTTTGAAAAAAAAAAAATGGCGTCAACTGTGACATGGAAGGAAATTGATGCCGATCTTTGGCAATCATCACCTGAAGCAAATTTTTCAAAGATGAAAGAAATACTGCACACCATTTGAAAATAACTTCATTGGTTTTAATATTGATCCCCTCCCCCTCCCGTCCGGGCAAATTTCCTAAACTTTTATTCATTTTTCTTCGTTTGTATGTCCGACTATTTCGCAAAACCTGGCAACAACGCTTTCAATTTCCAAATTCTATAAGGGGAGGGGAAATCCTTTCATCACGTTTAATACACAAATTAGCGACTTTCCTAAAAACTTGACATCTCCGGACTTGAAGCATATCACCCCGATCCAACGTTTGAGGAGTGAATGTTGCTCGTGCAAAAAGAGCCGGAAAGATATTCCAGGCAGGTTGCTACAGCAGCGTGAATAATAGCAATTACTTAATTAGCTAATTAATAAAATGAGCAAGTTGAAGTGTCAAATTGACACCCAAAGCTATTATTTTAAAAAAAAAAGCCAAAAAAACGGCAAGGAGAATTTTGAATCGATAAAAGGAG